AGGACTCTGGTAGTGAAGTGGTTACAAATCAGGCTGCGAACCGCAAGGTCAGCAGTTTGAAACTACCAGCTGTTCTGCGGGAGAAAGATGAGGCTTTCTGCTCCCGTAAAGATTCATAACCTCGGAAACCCTGTACAGGGTTGCTATGGGTCGGAACCGACTCCACAGCACATAACAACAACAACAACAAGGGCAGGGACAACAATGAAATACTTCCTCCCATACCTGTGTAACTTACAGTACCTTATGTGGTCTCTTGGTGGCAGAGAGAAGGGAGACCATTCTTGGGTTTCTTGCTCCCACGTAGTCTTGGGGTGGTCAGAGGTGGTGGGCCCTGGGACAGCCAGGTAGGAAGCTCTGGAGGAGCTGTATTTACATCAGGGATGCAGGATAGAGGCCAAGGTCAGAACAGGAAGGAAAGCTGTGGGAACTGGACTCTGATTCCTGTACTTGCCCTACCCCATGGAACCCCAGTCTGATTGATCATTAAGTCCAGGTGTGGAATGGCAGGGATTGTAGGCATTTCTTTCTGGAGCCCCAAGACAGATCTCCTGGCCAGCTGAGATCCGGGCGGGGTGGGGGGTGTTTCCCCATCTTTGTTGCTGCCATCTCCCACCTTTCCACCCATCCTCAGGCACTCAGTAAAGCACAACAGGGTGCTAAGAGCTGTTTGCCCTGGCCAGGTACACCTCCCTGCCTCTGATTTCACCACCTGACCCATTCAGCCATCTGCCCCCAAAGCATCCCAAAGACACCTGAATACTTGTTCTGAGGATGGACGTTTATTAGCACACCCAGGCGTGCTCCACAGAACACATACCCAGACAGGGAGCCCTGCCCAAGCGGGGCTTACAGTCTAAACGAGACACAACACATACACACAGGACGCAGACGCGGAGACGGGCAGCATCAAGAGAAACAGATGGTCAGGGGCGCCATGGGCTGGGGCATACAGTGTGTTCAAGCATTGTCCTTCTGGTTGGGTTTGTAGGGGAAGGAGAGGAGAGTGGGACATGGCCCAAGATGGCTTCCAGAATGCAGTGGTATCCAGGAGGAAATTGTAGGAGAAAGAGATACCAGTGGGCAGTGGTCCCAGGCACATGAGGGAGATGGATGAAGAAGTGAAGCCAGGGAAAGGCAAAAATCCGGGGAGGAGGAAGCCCTGAGCTGTCAAAATGGCTGAGTTGTTTCTGTGTTCACACCCAGTGTCCCAGAGCTATTTTCACGGAGAAAGCTCGGGCAAAGGCCACTCCTGGGGCTACTTACCTGACCTTGGGGCTCCCTCCAGCCAGAAGGAACGACCTTCTAATGGGGCACTGAAACCAAGTGGGGTACAGCTGCTGGCCCCAGATGATGGGGAACAGGCATATGGCCACCTTAGCTTTCCAGTAGGAAGTAGCAGCAGGTGGACACTCAACAAGGGGGGCTTAACCCTTTCGTGTCTATGTCTGAAACAGATGTCCCAGCACCTACCTCCTGAGGCACTGAGAGCTGCCAGACCTTGCCGTGTGGGGGAGGGGGAGAGGGAGTGGGATGGTTATTGCTCTTTTGTGGACTGAGGGAACTGAGACCTGAGGGAAGAATGGCTTGTCCAGGGCTAGAGCCCAGAGTCCCAGCCCTCGGGCCAGAGCTTGCCAGGGGCTCTCTTGAAGAGGCTTTTCCAATCCTAAAGGATGCACTGGACTGCGAACCACAAGGTCGGCAGTTCAAACCCACCAGCTTGCTCCTTGGAAACCCTATACGGGGTCACTATGAGTCGGAACCCACTCGACGGCACTTAACATAACAACAAGGGATGAAACAGAGTCCTGGAGTGGAGCATTGGCCTGTTAACCACAAGGTTAGTAGTTCAAGCCCACCGGCACTTAACAACAAGGGATGGAATGAGGAGCCTGCTACCTGAAGCGTTGGTGGTTCAAATCCACACCATCTTGTTTTGGGGACGGGGAGCAACCTGGGGATCTGTTTCCACAAAGGTTATAGCCTAGAAAGCTGTATGGGGCAGTTCTACTCATAGTCACATGGGGGCGCTATGAGTCCAAATGGACTTGACAGCACCTAAGAAGGACTTAAACTAAAAAGGGGTGGACAGACATTTCCATGCCAGCCTGCACATCTGGGGCTCCGAGTCTTTCCTTTCTCCATAGAGACCAGCAAGATGCCATAGTCGGAGGCCATAGTGGCCCCAGCCAGAGACCAGGCGGATGGTGGAGGGTGAGGAAGGTGGAGGGTCCTCCTTTGGTTTGTTTATCTGTCTCAGAGGGTGGTAAGGGCCCTGGGGATTGAAGGTCACACAGCTGTGCCACCTAGAGACCCCATGGGCCTTGCTTTGGGTCCGAGGTATAGCTACCCTTAAGCTTACTGGGCAGCTGGTGGGCTCATATTCTAGATTTGAGGTTGGGGTACAGGCTTAGTGAGGGCTTTGCCACCAGTGAAGACAAATCCCAAAGGGAACAAGTGGAGGGGAGGCTCAGGCCCAGGCTCCCACCCCCTTCCCCCACTGCCTCATCCCCTGGGGAGGCGAGGGAGGACTGGGACTCACAGGAAACAGCCAAGGTCCTACTTTTTCACGATCCTTTATTAATCAGAACAGGCCATGCCTCAAAAAGCAGGCCCATTCCCACAAAAATACGATTTTGCAAAGAGCAAATCTTGCTGGCTTAGAGGGTGAGTGTAGTGGAAAATTTATGTATTTTGTTGTTTTCCCCTTTACTTTTGCTTCATTTCTCTTTGCTGTAATTTTGGTGTGTGTGTCTGACAGTAGGTTTTTGTTGATTTTTTTTTTTTTTTAGAAAACACTTGCGCTCAAGGACTCAAACACAATACAAACAGCAGTCACCAAGCCCCACCTTTGTGTGTATGTGGCTGTTTTCCTGTCCCTTCCCTGGCGTCTGGTGCCAATGGGGTGGGCAGGCGCGGGGTCCTGGGGCAGGTGGAATTTGTACAGCGGTTATGTAAGGAGATGGTCACAAGAGAACGACTACATATAGGGTGTCCACAGAGATGACAGAAGACAGTGATGAAGGGACCTGGGACGCATGGTGGCAAAGAGACAGGAAGGACCAGGCAGGCGCCTAGGGGGACGGGCAGAGGCAGGAGGGCCTTACTCTCACACTGTGGTAATAATACTTGGCTCTTGCGTAGCACCTTCAGAGCCCTCCCGCCTTGACCCCCAGGTCAGGTGATGGCGGCCTCACAACCTTCCCTATGAGGTAGGTGAAGTATTATTACCATTATTTTACAGATAGGGAAACTGAGGCCCAGGGGGTGTGGGTGACTTGCCCAAGGTCCTGGGACGGTGGAAGGGCTCCAATGCCCCCACTCCTCAAGTTCTCCCATTTTCTGTTCTTCTATCATCCTCCAATTCTGCCCCCATCTCATACTACCCACCTCCTCCCGTGACAACTCAATGGGTCCTTGGCTCCGCCTCCTCCACTCCACCTGTTTGGGGCCTGGGGAATTCCAGGCTGGACTGCTAAAGTATCTGGGTGGGGTCTGATGGGGAACAAACTCCGCCCAGAGGTGCTGCTGTATTTGATTGGCTAAGCGCTCCAAGAGCGGGGCTCAGAAAGGGGATGCAGATGCCCCGCCCACTCAATACAGTTGGGTTTCTTCTCTAGGGCTGGATAGTTCAGAGCAGGTGAGAGGGCCCGCGATGGGTTCGTTCACTCGCCTGCCTGACCCCAACGAGGCGGATCCGAGGGGAGGGTTAAGAATGACAGTATCCTCTTGTCGCCTCACACAGCCTCCTATGACGCTGCCCACCCAAGCTCGCTGGAAGCTGGTCCCCAGTCCTCCCACTAAGGACGGACCCCATTTTAAGCAAAACTACAATATAGAAAAGTCTGGATTTACAAGGAATGTGGGTGACTATTTGCTTCACATCGGCATTCTTCACGCTACAAAATGATTCACCTACTATGTATGATATGCTTCCAAATCCCAGGGGATACAGGGTAAGGGCGGGGATGATGGGGTAGGGTGAGATCCAATTTAAGAACATACTGACATAGGCAAAAAGTGACCGACCCATCTACTGCATAGAGCAGAATGGTCAGCTCAAGAGGCAGCAGACTAAAGGAAAATGGTCCCTAAATGCCTGTTTTTGGCGAACTGTGGATGTGGGGGACAAAGGATTCCCTTCTTTTCTGTGATGTCCAGGAGCCACCTGGTGGTAGGTGTCTTGAATGGCAGCCCAGGCTCACGGACCCCTAGGGTCTTGAGGCTCTGTCACCAGCTGGGTCTTGTATCAATACAGGACCGGTATTGGGGATCAGTGGGTCTTAAGCCGGGATCATCCTGAAATCTGCTGTCTCCAAGGATAAGCCAGTTCTAGCCTCAGCCCCGTCTGAGGCAGAGACACCAGAGCTTCTGTGCCTTGCCCTGGGAGTGGAAAGGCTGGAAGGAGCTGCTCTCAGGGGCCAGGGGGCAAGAGGGCGGGTGGGAAACCACGAAGGGAGTCTGCACAGACAAGAAGGAACCAGGAACAGGAAACCGGTAGGCCTGGCAGATACCGCCAACTTCACCTTCTTGGAAGGTGAGCTGAGGAGGCTTTAGATAGGAGTATTAGGAAAGAGAACTTGGGGGGGGTGTCCCCTGAGAAGGAAGAGTCCTAGTGGAATGCTATGCACTTGGTGCCTGAAAGGTGTGAACGGACTGAGATGGATGTGCTGGGGAAGCAGCTACTTATTGGAGGTCTCTAAGCAGAGGGGGACCCTGAGGGCTGGGAAGGGATTGGGAAAGTAAGCCAATTCTCAGCCAGGCTCCAGCATCTGGCCCTCTTCTCCATCTCCCTCATTCATGTCACCCCCCACCCCCCCACTCACCCCTTACCTATTTCTTTTCTCCACCCCTGGCTTTGTGGGCCTGTCTTCTCCCTGCTCCAACCTCCAGCCTCCGCCCTGCCTTCAGGGAAACCTTATCCTCTCCGCATGCTCTCTAAGCACAGCCAGCCCCAGGGGGGCGAGGTGGGGACAGGGAGCAGGCAGGCCCCCATACGCACACACACGGGTGGACACAACACAAGTACAATGGGCCCCCGCTCCAGGACCCGGAGCGGGCTATTTATACTCTCCTCGGCATTCAGGGCCCAGCCGGCGCCTGAAACTGCCCTAGAGATAGGCCTCTACTGGCCGGGGCCAAACGCCTCTCAACTTCCCCTGTCCTGCGCCCGCCCTCACGTGGGCGGGAGGGGAAGGCCTCTCTTCACTCCAGGCACTGCCTTAAAGAAAACGGTGGGTCACGCCCACCTGGCGGGCCTCTGGAGGGATCTGCCCGGCCAGCTGCCAGTTTGACTCTTAGACCTCCCACTTCTTTAGTGTCAGCAAATCAGGAAGGAAAGGGGCGAAGCAGGAAAATGGCTCCCGGAGCCCCTCCCCCTGAGCTGGACTGCTGGGGTGGGGCTGGTACTTGCTAGAAATGGGGCCGAGTCCTGAGACCCCCTCCCTGGCCGAGCCTCAGGGTCCTCCCCTCACTCACGGCAGGGGGGCCAGGCCGGGTGTTGTGCATAAAGTGGCGAGGACATGATGGGGACCCTGGCCCTCAGCCCCCCAGGCCTCTTCTGGCCCCCGCTCAGGCCTTCAGCTGGTGCCACTGGGCCACAGGCTGCCGCGGACGGGCAATCATGTCCTTCCAGTGTTTCACCTCTCCGGGCCCACTCTTCCAGGACAGGTAGATCTAGAGAGAGAGAAGAGAGGAGGGAAACCTTGGTGGCTGACTCAGAGGCAGTGCCCCCGCCCCACCACCAGGGGGCGAAACTAGATTCCCCACGATGACACCAAAGGCAGGGCGAGGAGTCCGTGCGTATATAGTGACCCTATAGGACATGGAGATTTACAGCCTCGGAAACCCTGTGCAGGGTCACTATGAGTTGGAACCGACTCCACGGTACTTAACAACATAGGACAAGGTAAGGAGCTCTGGTAGCGTAGTGGTTACGAATCGGGCTGCTAACCTCAAGGTCAGCAGTTCGAAACTACCGGCGGTTCTGCGGGAGAAAGAGGCTTTCTGCTCCCGTAAAGACTTACAGCCTCAGAAACCCTGTACAGGGTCACTATGAGTCGGAACCTACGCCACAGTACTTAATAACGACATAAGATAAGGTAGAACTAACTGCCCCATAGGGCACATCTTCCTCCCGCAGAGCGGCTGGTGGGTTCGAACCACTGACCTTTAGGTTAGCAATTAAAATCTCAATTGCTACACCACCAGGGCCCCTTCAACATGATTCACTAGCCTGCAATCATAGGTACTTCCCCACCTCAAACTATCACCCCGTCACCCTGGCTATTTTCTTGGTTGTGCCTCCCCTTGGGAACCTGGGCAAGCCTGCTCCTTCAGAATACACTCTTCACTCCTTAGCAGTGGAGATGGACAGTGGGGTAGTGGTACTTAGCTTCCATGTCCTAGTTCGCCTTTTTACTGTTGCGTCCACCTCTGGGACACACTGTACATGCTAGGTGCTGAGTTAAGGGCTGTATAAATCTCACCTGTGAGATAGGTATGTATTTATCATCCCCATTTTACAGATGGGAAAATGAAGGTGCAGAGTTAAGAGACTTGTCCACAGTCAGTTTTGGTCAATAGTGGTGAGGATTGAAATGCAGGTCGCTTGGACTCTGTGTCAGGGACCTTAGAGTCTAACAGGACTGTTTTCATAAATAGCCCAGCTGGCTCCAGTCTTGAGGCTTGTTTGGTGACGATGAGTTAATTTTGACTCCTAGTGACCCCATGTGACAGAGTAGAGCTGCCCCACAGGATTTCTGAGGCTGCATGTCATCTTTACAGGAGCAGCTCTCCAGGGTTTTTTTTCACGGAGCCACGAGGTGGGTTTGAATTGCCAACTTTTCAGGGAGCAGCAGAGAGCCTAGTCTGGTGGCTGATGAGTGTTTCAGAGCAGAGGTGTGGGGTCAAAAGAGGAGACATATGCATAGATTGGGGACATGCGATAGGATACCTGGCCAGCACTTGTCAAGACTGGCAAGGTCAGAGAAACAAGGAAAGATTGAAACACGGTCACAGACCAAGCCGACCGCAGAGATGTGACAACTAAATGCAATGTGATACCCTGGATTGGATCCTGGAACAGAGAGAGGACATTAATCTAAAGACAAGTAAGGAGTCCAGGTCATGGTAATATACTAATGTCAGTTTCTTAGTCCCACAGTGACTGAGGATGTTAATAGTGACGAAGATTGGTTGAGGGCTAGATGGGAATGCTCTGTCCTACCTCTGCAACGTTTCTGTCCATCTAAACTAACCTTGCAATGAAACGGGTATTAAAGGCAGAAAGCAGATAAGTGATTAGCAGGGGCTGAGGGGAGGGTGGGGGTGGGGAGTAATTAACTGAATGGGTACAGGCTGTTTTCCTGGGCAATGAAACCAGCGAGAGGTAGTGATTATACAGCATTGTGATTAACACTACATGCCAAGGAATTGTATGTATGTGAATTTCACCTCAATTAAAACAAAAAGTAGATCAAAGCAAAACAAAAACTGTATTTTAACAAAACGCATGGAATGCAGGATTTCTGGAGCCACTGAGGCCAGATGAACTCCCAAACCTATTGTCCTAAGATCATCTTTAAACCTTAAATAAAAAATGTCCCCCGAAGTCTTCCCTAAACCAAACAATAGTAAAGAATGTCTACCTTGAGCATTGTACTCTTTTACGAACTACCTTTAACCCATAAGAAGGAGCTGTTTTGGTGCATTTGGTTGCTAACCAAAAGGCTGGTGGTTCGAACTCACAGCAGACTCCATATGAGGCAGTCTGTTTCCATAAAGATTTACAGCCTTGGCAACTTTAGGAAGCATTCTACTCTGGGTGAAATATATGGGTCAGAATGGATCTGATGGCCTTGGGTCTTACATAAGATGAAGCTAAGAACAAAAACTTGAGAGAAGAGATAGGAAACAAGGAACAGTTAATTTATGTAAATGAGGGAGGGATAATTCAGAAAAGGATGCACAGCTTGAAGAATACGATCAATGATGAGCCATTGTACATGTAAAAACTGTTGAATTGGTGTATGTTCTGCTGTGTATATTTGCAACCACCACCACAAAATAAAATACATTATTTTTAAATGAAAGAGTGGGAGCACACATGCCAGGGGAGAGACCCGCTGGGCCTTAGCTCTTGCTCTGTGGAATGGGTTAATGGTGTGTTGGGACCACACATGGTGAGTGCTCAGCCTGGCACAGTGGGTGCCCCATGGGTGAGCTCTCTGAAGCTGGTTGACTTCTCACCCTTACTAGGGGCCTCAGAACCCTAGGGCCATTGTGCGTCTGGCCACATTTGCAGCCTCTATCCCAGCATGATGTCCACAGCCTTGAGTGATGCCAGGCAGATGGGAGCGAGTGGCAGCTTCCTGGGGTGGAGTCTGAAGATTGGATGGGCTTGGGAATACTCAGGTTCCTAAGCTACTGAGGGCAAAGCAGGAACAAATCCACCTTGGCTTGGGTCCCGTCAACGGAAGGACTGTTTCACGTAGAGTTATAATTGGCATCGAAGGGAAACCCAATTCCAGAAGACTATACTAGTTACAGTTCTGTGGCCCCTTGGCAGTCACAAGCTCTGCGCAGCACATGCTGTTATTCTAGGGGCTGTCCCACCTGTCACTACGGGCTGGCTAGCCAGGTTCCTTGGGCTGTGTTTGATGGCAGGCAGTGCTAGCTGTCCTCTTTGAGTCTACATTGCCTTCCTCATGCCTCATAGCTGAGTTCTCCATTCTCTGTCCAAGGGATGCCTCTACCTCAGCCTTCTTCCCTGTGAGTGCCCAGTGGTCACTTTTACCCATTTTCCCACAAAGGGAAACACCCCAAGAGAGTTCTACTCACCTCTCACTTGCTCCTGGCATCCACTTCCTTCCCTGCCCTGCTCCTGGCCAAAGCTAGTAGGTTGTCTCGTTGCTATCCTGTATATCCCAGCCACTAGGCAGAGCATCTCACCTGGGATTTCTCATCGAGTCCTCCTGTATACTCAGAAGCTAGGGCTGTCTTACTCTTTCATTTTGAGAGGAGGAAATGAGGCTCAGAGTTCAAACAGCTGTTCAGAGGTGGGGCCTAGATCTGGACCCAGGCAGTCTGACTTCCCAAACCACACTCTTAACACTAAGTCGTACACAAACACAGGAAGTAGACATTTGTTGAAAATAAGAAAGTGAACAGGTTTATGCCACAGATTTGCATCCTAGAAAAACTCATGACCAGGCATGGATTTCATGGTTAACATGAACATGGTTGTTGTTAAGTGCCATTGAGTCTGTTCCAACTCGAACCACTAACTCTGAGGTTTGCAGTCCAGTGCTTGTCCAACGGAGCCATCGAGCTCCCCTAACATGTGTCCTGGAGAGGTTGTTTTAACAATGAAAACTTTCATGTATCTCTGTCAATTCTTACAAAGTTCTGCAGCGTTGGTACCACTAGCTCCATTTTATAGATGAGAAAACTGAAGCTTGAAGACGTAAATTAACTTGCTCCAGGTGACATAGGTTTTCAAGGTAGATGGGGGAAGGCACTGAACCCAGCTCTTGACGCTGCCCCACACAGCTTACCCTCCATGGACCAGACCCCAGGCAACATGGCTCAGATGTCTTTGCACTATTTGAGGATGCTTACACCTTATGGTTCAAACCAACCTTGTGGTCCAGTGCATTACACTAGCACCACACTAGTACTGTCTAGAAAAGCCTCTTTTTAGCACTCAGGGAACCTTCTTCTTTCTCTGGCCTTCCAAGTGGCCTGTCTTGCACTTACTGATCATTGGAGGACATTGATAAGAAACTTACGGAGAATCTCATCCAAGCCCCTTGTTTTTCAAATGAGGAAATGGAGCTCACAGAGAAGCAGAAACTGGCCAGATGTCTCCCAGTGCCCAGCCCCATACTTGCCCATGGCCCTAACTGCATCTTTTAAGGAACAAGCCCTCTCTCTGTGTGTGCCAGTCGTGTACAGACCCCACCTGCTTCACCCCCTTACCTTGCCGATGACGTCATTGCGGCTCAGCTTGTCCTTGTCCATGACAGTGATGATGATAGTTGTCTCCCTCAGCTTCTCCGTGGGGATATCGAAGGTGAAGGACTCATTGAAGATGGGGTTCAGGTTCCTCTTCATCGTCACCGTCTTCTTCTTCTCCACTCGCTTGTCCTTGTACATTAGCCATACTTTCACATAGGGGTCTGGAGGGCAGGGGAAGAGTCAGAAGAGTCCCTTCCCCTGCCAGGTGTGGAAGCTGAGGCAGAAGGGGCTATGTTTCCTTCCCAAGGGGATGAGAGGGAGCTGCAGAAATGAGCCAGTGGTTGAGCTAGAGAGAAGACCTTGGCCTTCATCTAGTGCCTCCTGCTAAAAGGGTACCAAGCTCCAGAGAGGCCACGTGCAACTTCCTGTCAGAGCTGGGGCTGCAACCCAGGTCCCCCTACCTCAACATTCTCTTTCTTCACGGTTTCCTAAGGGTAGAGGAGTTGGGACTACAAATGCGAAGCAGGGAACTAGGGAAAGAGCCACAGTGAAGGCCCCACTCCCCATATCTAGAGTGGCACCCACACCACCAAAACTCCCAGCCCACCCTTCCTCTGCCACGATATGTCCCAGCACCTGATGTTCCCCCGATGTCCATGGCTTTGAGGTTCCGGGCTTTGATGATGTTTACAATGATAGAGTTGGCAGAGGGGTTGTAGCAGAGAGACAAAAGCAGCTCCCCTCGGCTCCCCTGGAGGAACAATAGGTGGGGTGAGGCTGGGCCACAGGGAGGGCTGTGGGGACTAAGTAGGGAATGGATCAACACAGCTTGTCTGCCCCCCCCCCCACCTCCCCCGGCCTCTCCCACACACCTCGCAGATCTGAGCTCTCTCCCAAGGCCCTACTCCCTGGCAAAGCCCTTTAAATCTTCATTATACCTCTGATTTGTTGCCCCAATGTCAGATCTGGTGGGAACCCTTGCCTCATCAGGGGTCTGCCCATGGCACCACCACCCACATCCTTCCTGGCCATTCTAGAAGTGCCAGCCCCGATCCACAGCCCCATCTGACCAGAGGTCCATAGCCCCATCTGACCAGATCCACAGCCCCATCTAACGAGAGGTCCACAGGTAGGCTCTTACACTCCCATCGCTGCAGGGCTTCAGATCCTTCCAGAAGGTCTGCATCTGGGTCAGGTCCACCTTGTTGAGGGGGATGGACACCTCCCCAATGGGGTCATTGCGGCTGAAGCGGTCATAGTCCAGGACCTGGAGGTAGAGGACCCTCTGCACCACCTTCTCATAGGGAAAACCTGGAGAACAGAGCAGCACAGGTGAAGATGGGGCTAGGCACACAGGATGGCCCCCAGAGGAGGGCTGGGCCTGGACAACCACCGGCATTTGAGCCTTACTGAGGAGCTGCCAAGAACTGTCACCATGTCATCTGTGGGTGGTGTCATGCCCATTTTATAGGTGCGGAAACTGAAGCTCACAAAGCTTCAATAACGTGTCCAGTTTCCCACACCAGAACTGAGACTCCCAGTCTCATTCATGTACTCACTCATCAGGTGCTTATTTAGGAGGCAGGCAATGGTCCCCTAGCTCTCTGGGAAGAACGACTGCTGCCAATTGTCCGGAGGCAAGTCTAGGAATGTGACTTTGCCAGAGAGACCCACCACAAGCCCCAGAGGGTCTTGGGGGCAGGGAGCAGTTGGGAACGGACCAGGAAGAGGGGCAGCAAAGGCACAGGAAAAAGAAGTGGCCCACATGCTGACGCCTCCTGCCCCTGCACTTCTACTCAGTGCATCAGCTGGTCCTGCCACTGTCCCTGTCTCCACAGCCCCGGGAACCTCCTGCCTGGAGAGTAACAATCTTCTCCTGACCACGCTCACTCACTCCCTGCTTCTCCTACAGCCCATTCCTGACACAGCTGCCAGGGTGAGCTTTTAAAAATAGAAATCACATCATGACACTTCTGCCTAGCATCTTTCAATGGTTTCCAATGCACTTAGAATAAAAGCTGGCTGCCTGAGCTTGGCTTGGAGTCTTTTCACAATCCCCCCCCCCCCCCCTGCTCATCTGTGACCGGTGCTTCCTCTCAATGACTGGGCTCCAGGCACCCGAAGTTTCCTGTCTCCAGGCTTGGCACATCCTTTATCTCTCAGACAGGGTTAGATCTCCACCTCATCACACACTCAGCATTTCCCCTCTGGCAGCATGCATCCCAAGCTGCCATATGGATTTGTCCGTCTGTCTCCTTGATCACTGTCTGTCTCCCTCACTAGGCTGGGTTTCCAGGAGGGGCATCTCTGATGTCACCCACTGGATCCCAGAATCTCACACTGTTTCTGGCACATTGTCGGCACTGGATAAATATTTGTTAAGTGAATGAATAATTGAATGACCAGATGCATGCTGGGGAGATGGTCGGAGGGAGTAGCAGGGGGAGGTGGGGTGGAGTTGGAGCAGGAGCTAAGTCTGGGAGGGGCAGACTGAGAGGGACCCAGGGTGTCACTGGGAAGGAGAGATGCCATGGTTCAGTCAGATTGGTGGAGAAGGTGAAGGGAGGGGAAGAACTCGGGAAGATTCCAGGGCCTCAGTCCGACACCCTGGGAGTACTGCAGAGCCTCTTACAGGAACAAGAGAGCTGGAAGTAGAAATCATACATCCGCTCAGCCCCTGGCCTCTGAATTCTTTTTGAGCTTCCTTTCAACATATGAAGTAGGGAGGGTGGGGGGAGACAGTGTCTAGCTCATCTGTGGTCTTGTGCAGATGACCCTGGTTAGATAGAATGTATTAGGACATGTTGGAGGCTCCAAACGTTCCCTGTGCCTGACTCAGTTCTCATCCATCCTCTCTGGCAAACTCTTATTCATCCATCAGAACCCATCTTGTATGGCTCTTCTTTTGGGAACTGTTATCTCGTACTTAATGACGTAGATGGCGTAAAGCTTTTGTGACCTTCATTTGCTGACATGGCATGACTCAAAACGAGAAGAAACAACTGCAAACATCCATGAATAGTGGAAACACGGAAATACGAAGTATGAATCTCGGGAAATTGTTGTTGTGTTAGGTGCTATCAAGTCAGCTCAGACTCATAGTGACCCTGTGTTGGGTTTCCAAGGAGGAGCTTGTGGGTTTGAACTGCCCACCTTGTGGTTCACAATCCAGTATTGATCCTATTGTGCCATATCAGGAGTCATCCAAAATGAAATGGAACACACAAAGATGGATATCCTAGCATTAATGAGCTGAAATGGACTGGTATGGGCCATTTTGAATGGTTTACTATGCAGAGAATGACAGATTAAAGAGGAATGGCCTCACATTCATCATCAAAAAGAACATTTCAAGATCCATCCTGAAGTACACCACTGCCAGTGATAATATCCAAGCACCTATACAATCTTTACGACTATTATTCACATTTACATATCAACCACTAATTGCAAAAATGAAGAAATTAAAGATTTTTACCAACTTCCGTAGTATGAAACTGATCAAATATGCAATCAACTTGCACAGATAATTACTAGTCATTGGAATGAGAAAGCTGGAAACCAAGAGAAAGGATGGAAAACATGACTTTGGTGATTGAAACAATGTTGGATATTGCGTGATAAATAAAATTTTGCTAGACCAACAACGTATTCATTGCAAAAACCATTTTTCAGTAACATTAACAGGTAATACACATGTGGATCTTTCCAGATGGAATACTCAGGAATCAAATTGATTACATCTATGGAAACAGACAATGGAAAAACTCAATACCATCAGTCAGAACAAAGCCAGGGACTGACTGAAGAACAGACCATCAATTGTTTATGTGCAACTTCAAGTTAAAGCTGAACGAAAATTAAAACAAGTCCACGAGAGCCAAAATATGACCTTGACTATATCTCACCTGATCTTACACACCATCTCAAGAATAGACACATTAAATACAATGAGTTGTGGGATGATATCAAGAATATAAGACATGCTAGACAGGTCTGGGGAAAGGAGATGGGGGATAAGATTCTTAAGACTCAGTAGTAATTGTTGTCATGATTAATTGCCATTGTCATAACTGTAAAGGTATAAGTTTTATAACATAAAGGGGGGAGTAGTTTATTCAACATTCCAGAACAGAGGACCCTGGGACCATCAAGGGAGAGGAGCATGAACGGAATGTGAGACTCTAACCAGAGAAATGGCAACACCAGAGATGTAGGCAGAGATGAAGACATGTAGAGAGAGAGAGCAGCTGAGGGCTCTACCTAGATTCATGGAAAGAGAAAGGCTGTGTGCTGGTGGCCAGGAGGCAGGCTTGCAGAATATACCCTTGGGGTTGTTCAAAATATTATATATTCTTGAGTGTTTCTGTGTACATCAAAAAAAAAATAAAGTGGCAAGTATATAAGGTTTTAATGATATATTATGATATTTCAAAATAGTATATAGAACAATAAATACAAAATTCTTATTATAATAAAAAGAACATAAGACATGAAGAAAACAATAAAGGTCATTAAAAAGGTAAGAAAGAAAGATCAAAACAGATTTCAGAAGAGATACAAACTTGTTCTTGGATGTAGAATAAAGTGAAAGAAGAAAAGACAAAGTAAAGAGTTGAACGGAAGATTTCAAAGGGCAGCTCAGGAAGACCGAGTCAAGCATTAAAATGAAATGTGTTAAGACCTGGAATCAGAAAACCAAAGAGGAGAACACGCTCAGCACTTCAAGTTCTTTCAGAACTGAAGAAGAAAAGAAAAAACTCAAGCCTCAAGTTGCCGTATTAAAGGATTCTACGGGTTGATGTCCTGGTACGGCACTGTAGGATAAGCACTAGACCACAAGGCCAGTGGTTCAAAGCCCCCAGCCACTCCTCGGAAACCCTATACAAGATCATTATAAGTCAGAACGGACTTGACCAAACTGAACACCAACAACAAGATGAGTTGAATTATGGTATGGGAGAAGAATATTTACAGTATTGTGGCCTGTCTTGGAAGAAGTGCAGCCAGAATATTCCTTAGAAACCAGAGTGGTGAGACTTTGTCTCTCATACTTTGGACATGCTATCAGGACGAACCAGTCCCTAGAGAAGGACACATCATGTTTGGTAAAGTGGAGGGTCAGAGAAAAAGAGGAAGACCCCCAACGAGATGGATTGGCCAAGTGGCAGCAGCATTGGGCTCAAGTGTAACAATAATTGTGGGGCTGGAGCTGCAGGACTGGGCAATTTTTTTTGTATACAGGGTCGCTACGAGTCAGAACTGATTTGATAGCACCTAGTCCTGCTGTGGCGCTGTGGGCTGATGCATCAGACTGCAAAGTCGTTTGAACTGCAAGGTCTGTGGTTCAAGCTCACCAGCTGCTCCTTGGAAACCCTCCTATACAGGGTTGCTTTGGGTCGGAATCGACTCAATGGTACTTCACAACAACAACAATCAACCACCAACACTCATGGAAGCAGCAGTCAAGAAATCAAATGACGTATTGCATTAGGTAAATCTGCTGCACAAGACCTTTTTAAAATGTTGAAGAGCAAAGATGTCAGCTTGAGGACTAAGGTGTGTCTGACCCAAGCCATGGTATTTTCAATAATCTCATATGCATGTGAAAGCTGGACATTGAATAAGGAAGACGGCAGAAAAATTGATGCTTTTGAGTTATGGTGTTGGAGAAGAATACTGAAAGTGCCATGGGCTGCCAAAAGAACCAACAGATCTGTGTCGGAAGAAGTGCAGCCAGAGTACTCCTTGGAGGCCAGGATGGCCTAACTTCATCTCTCATAGTTTGGACATATTGTCGGGAGGGACCAGTCGCTGGAGGAGGATATCATGTTTGGTAGGGTGGAGGGTCAGAGAAAAACAGGAAGACCCCCAGCAAGATGGATTTGCAATATGGCAACATCAATGGGCTCAAGCGTGGCAACAATGGTGAGGCTGGCCCAGGACTGGGCAGTGTTTCGGTCTGTTGTGCATAGGGTCGCTATGAGTCGGTACCAACTCGATGGCACCTAACAACAACAACAAAAACCTGGTGTGGTGCTGTAGGTTAATACGCTGGACTGCAAAGTCAGTTTGAATGGCAATGTTGGTGATTCAAGCTCCCCAGATGCTCCTTGGAAACCCTATACAGGGTCGCTATGGGTCAGAACTGACTCAACGGCACTTAACAACAACAACAAAAGCAGTTGGCAAAAAACTGGCAGTGTTGTGGTTTTGCAGGATAAACACTGGAGTGTTAACCACAAGGTTTGAGTCAGCAGCCACTCCTTGGGGGTAAGATGAGGCTTTCTTGTCCCACCAAGATTTACAGCCTCAGAATCCCTATACAAGGTTGCTATGAGTCAGTACTAAATTGATGGCACTTAACAACAACAACAGTGGGCAAAACACTGAATGATGCAAGAAGCATCAAGAGAACATGAAAGAATACACAGAGTCACTGTACTACAAAGAACTGGTTGATGTTCAGCCATCTCAGGAGGTAGCACATATAGTTAAGAATCAATGATATTGAAGGAAGAAGTCCAAGCTACACTAAAGGCACTGGTGAAAAACAAGACTCCAGGAATTAACAGCATGCCAACTGAGATGTTTCAACACATGGACGCAGTGCCAAGAAAGTTGGGAGACAGTTACCTGGCCGACCCATGGAAGAGATCCCTGTTTGTGTCCATTCCAAAGAAAAGTGATCCAATAAAATGTGGAAATTATCAAACACTATCCTGGTGTGGCACTGTGGGCCAAAGCACTGGACCCCAAGGTCAGTTTGAATCACAAGGTCGGCAGTTCAAGCTCAGCTGCTCCTTGGAAATCCTATACAGGGTCTCTGAGTTGGAACCGACTTGACAGCACTTACCAACAACAACAATGATTAATATATCTTTAATACAGGGAGCGGGGTGGCTCTGAAGGCTAAGCACTGGACTTCGAACCAACCACAAAGTCAGTGGTTCGAACCCATCAGCTTCCCTGAAGAAAAAGATGAGGCTTTCTGTGAAACCCTATACAGAGTGGCTGAGTTGGAACCAACTTTAGGGTATGGAACAACAACAACATCTTTAATGGTCAGCAAGAGGCAGACCCCCAAAGAGAAAGACTGCCACAGTGACCGCCACAATGAGCCCAAACATAACAACAACTATGAAGCTGGATTGGGACCAGGCAGTGTTTGTTCTGTTGTGCACAGAGTTGCTATGTGTTGGAGACAACAACAACATCAGTAAAGTCACAGGCAAGTACAATTTTGCTGAAGTGATTCAACAATGGTTACAGCAATACATCAATAGGCAACTACAGAAATTCAATCAGGATTCAGAAAGGATATGGAATGAGAGATGTAATTTCTGATGTCACATGGATCTTGGTCGGAAGCAGAGAATAACAGAAAGGTTTTTACTTGTGTTTTATTGACTGTGTAAAGAGATCGGCCTGTATGGATCATAAGAAACTATGGATACCATTGCAAAGAACAGGAATTCCAGGACACTTGATTGTGCTCATGAAGAACCTGTACAGAGCCCAAAAGAACAGAACAAGGCAACACTGAATGGTTTACGATTAGGAAAGGTGTGCTCCAGAGTTGTAGCCTTTCACCATACTTATTCAATCTGTATGCCGAGCAAATAATCCGAGGACCTGCATAATTTGTAGAAGAACCTGGAATCAAGGTTGGAGGACGACTCATTAACAACCTGCAACGTGCACATGATACAACCTTGCTTGCTAGAAGCTAAGAGAACTTAAAATATTTACAGATGAAGATCAAAGACCACAGTCTTCAATATGGATTGCACCTCGATGCAAAGAAAACAATAATCCTCACCACTGGACCAACAAGCAACATCATGATAAATGGAAAAAATATCGATGCTGTCAAGGACTTTGTGTTACCTGGCTTCACAATCAACACCCATGGAAGCAGCAGCCAGGAAATCACACCGAGAAAATCTATTGCAAAAGACCTCTTTAAAGTGTTAAAAAGCAAAGATGTCACTTTGAGGACTAAGGTGCCTGATCCAAGCCATGAAAATTTTAATTACCTCAGATGCATGTGAAAGCTGGACAATGAATAAGGGTGACCGAAGAGGAATTTGAATTATGGTGTTGGCAAAGAATATTAAGTCTACTATGGACTGCCAGAAGAATTAATAAATCTGTCTTGGAAGAAGTACAACCAGAACACTGTGGACATATCCGGAGACTAATTCCTGGAGAAAGATATTATGCTTGGCAAAGAAGAGGGTCAGCGAAAAAGAGAATGCTCTTTGGCCGCAGTCAGAGGGTCAGAGAGTGCAATGACTGTGAAGATGCTACAGGACTGGGCAGTGTTTTGCTCTGTTGGGCTTTTTGGCATCGCTGTGATTTGGAGTCACCTCAACCGCATCAACAATATCTCCACTACCACCTGGGGAATGCTTCCCAGATTCCTGCAGTACTCGTCATCTGCGTATGATTGAACTCTCTACACAACTTCATTTTCCATGACACCAGGAACATCTTGAGGCCATAAAGGTGCCTCATTCTTTTCTGCACCCCCAGTATCCAGGGCTGTGTTCATCCCACAGTTGATGTTGAGTAAAAGCTATGGCAGAGATTAGTGGATTGGAGCGCTTCTCATCAGCCTCTCACTGGGGTACCATCTTTAAATTAGCCCCCACAGTGGTCTAGAGAAGAGGGGGTCCAGAAACCCTTCAGCTCATGCTCAGTTTAGTGGGAGAGGTGGCTGTCACCTGGCAGGGCAGGTGGGGTGTCGAGTGGTCAAGACAGCAGGTGGGGAAGACTCCATGGGTATACAGTGCTGTCTTGGAGAGTCACCAGAGCTCCAGGCAGTTGGAGCCATAGGGACTTATTCTCATGGTTGAACTGGGCTGTTGGGAAAGGATTATGGCTCTTAAGTGAGATTAATGTGCCATTTTACTCATGATGGATGAGGCTCACACACCCAACTTCCTGGTTACCTTGGATCTCCAGAGAGCAGAGATTAAAGGCCGGACTTTCAAAGAGCTGCATGTGAGAGTAAGGACATTGACCTCTGTGACCTTCAGGAACCCAAAGGTGTGGTTCAGAGCTTTTCCTGTGTGTCTGTCTGCAGGGAGCAGAGAGTGGCCCCAGTCTAAGAAACAGGTAGAGGGTATTTTCTGGGGCCAGATACTGCTCTAACTGCACTGCTATTTACTTATGCATTTCCAGTTCCAGCTTTATTGTGTTGATTTTGACTCATAGAGCTCACATGTATGTCAGAGTAGAACTGCATACTATTCTGGGGTTTTCTGGGGTTTTTTTGGGCAGGGGGAAGTAGATTGCCAGGTCTTTCTCCAGAGGTGCCTCTGGGTGGACCTGAACTTGTAACTTTTTGGTTAAGCACCAAGAGTGTCAACCGCTTGCATTATCCAGGGACTCCATGAATGTGTTGAACCCTCACTATTATACAGCAGTCCTGGTGTGGCGCTGTGGGTTAATGCGCCAGACTGCAAAGCCATTTGAACAGCAAGATCGGCGGTTCAAGCTCACCAGCTGCTCCTTGGAAACCCTATACAAGGTCACTACGATGGCACTTCAAAACAACAACATTATTAGAATAAAGAGTGCTGGTGTGGTGCTGTGGGCTAATGCATCAGACTGCAAGGTTGTATGAACTGCAAGGTTGGTGGTTCAAGCTTACTAGCTGCTCCTTGGAAACTCTATACAGGATCAGAATTGACTCGATGGCACTTAACAACATTATTAGACTAAGGAGCTCTGGTAGTGTAGTGGTTATGAGTTGGACTGCTAACCTCAAGGCCAGCAGTTTGAAACTATCAGTGGCTCCGTGGGAGAAAGATGAGGCTTTCTGCCTCCCATAAAGATTAACAGCCTTGGAAACCCTATACAGATTCTCTATGGGTCAGAACCGACTCGGCAGCAGTTAACAACAATAAGAAACTCTGGTAGCGTAGTGCTTATGAGTTGGGCTGCTAACCTCAAAGTCAGCAGTTCGAAAGTACCAGCGGTTCTGCAGGAGAAAGATGAGGCTTTCTGCTCCCGTAAAGATTTACAGCCGCAGAAACCCTATGCAGGGTCGCCATGAGTCAAAACTGATTCTATGGCACACTGCAATCTGCCCACCATTATTAGGGTGGTATCCTTGTGGTATTGCGGATAATGTGGGACTGCAAGGTCGGTTTGAACTGCAAGGGTGGTGGCTCAAACTCAACAGCTGCTCCTCAGAAACCCTAGACAGGGTCGCTATGAGTCAGAACCAACTCGGCAGCACTTAACAATTATTAAGATAAGCACTGGACAGCTAACCACATGGTTGGCGGTTCAAACCTACCAGGCACTCTTTGGAAACCCTAATCAGGATTGCTATGAGTTGGAACCAACTCACCAACACTTAACAATTATTACCTGTTTTACAGAGGGGGCTATACTGAGCTTCAGACTCTTGCCTAAAGTCACATAGCTAGTAAAGAGCAGAGCTGGGATTTGAACTCAGGCAGCCAGGGCCACATCCATAATGCTCCACCTCTGGATCCTGTAGGTGCTCCCTCCCTTCCTGCCTCCTCTCCCCAGGCTCCGAGGGAGAAGTTCTGTGTAGAAGCTGAGATCCCAGGCTGGGGCCCGACTTTCTTCCTGGGCCTCTGGCTGAGACATTTGCTCTGCTTGACCAGAGACCTGATCCCAGCTAGACACCAAATGTACAGGGAGTCAGTGTAGGCGTGTGCATGTGTACCTGTGTATGTTTGTACACATGCATGTGTGCAGGTACGTGAAGATGCTTCTGTGTGTGTTGGTGCATGTGTGTACCTTCAAGTGTGTGTATGTGTGCCTGGGTCTGGGCACATGGTCACATGTATGGCTGGGTGCAGGGACGGTGGTGAGGTAGGGAAGCTCTGGTGGGGAGGGTGGCACCTGCCTCACCTTCGAAGAGGAAGGTCTCATTCCAGTGGGGGTTCAGATTCTTCCGCTTGACCTTGGTCTCCAGCTTGTGCTTCTTGTCTGGTAGCAGGTAGATCTTGACGAAGGGGTCGCTGGTGCCACTGAAGTCCTTGGCCGGCAGCTCCTGGGCCTTCATGATCTTCACAGTGAGCGTGGACTCCTGGAAGTTGTAGCCGACACTGAACTGGATCCGGCCTAGGTTCTCTCGACTGCAGCCCTCGTGGGCTTCATCCTCCTCCGAGCCAGGGGAGAGCTGGGGGTGGGGAGAGTCAGGGTGTTGAGGACAGTTTCCCCTTTCCCAAGGCCCCTACCAGGGCCAGTATGGTAGGGGACAGGCCTGAGCCTGAGGCCAGTCCAGCTGCCCAGAGCGACCCCCTCCCTCTGGTCCCCCACCCATGAGGATGCTGAGCCTAGGCCAGGCCAGACAGCCTGTCTCCTGAATGCTAGAGCAGTGTGCCCAGGCCTCCCCCGACCCCAAGCAACACCACAAGCTTCCTTCTCATTGGTGGGCCCTGGGGTTCCTGAGCTCTCCCACCTCCACCTTCCTGACCTGTGGGGCCCACTACGGACTGCACCAACACAAAACTGAAAAACACACGTTCACATCGCAAAAGACTATCCAGATTTGTCTTTGGAAAGTGACTCTGTGGGGTACCAAGGGTGATGTGATTTACAAAATGACAATGGCGTGTTTGGAGAGCAATGTCTAGTTGCATAAGACCATATCATCCAGGACACTTAAAAATCCTGTTCTCCAGACTCCACCCAAAGAGTTGGTTTAGGTGGGCTGGGTGGGGCCCAGCATCTGCATTGTTTAAAGAGCACCTTAGATGAATATAGTCACTACATGTGGCAGGGAAGACACACCTGCATTCAGTCCCCATCCCTGAAGGGGGTCCAGGACAGAGGGTGCAGTGGGTCTAGAATTCCTAACCCGATGTTGGAAACACAGAAGTGATAGGGTGGGGGTGGGTGGGTGGGTGAAGGGAGTCTCTGAGTGGGCAGTTAACACACTGAAAGGTTGGAGGTTGGAATCTACCCAGAGATACCTCAGAAGAAAGGCCTGGTGATCTCCAGCCATTGAGACCCCTGTGGAGCACAGCTCTACTCAGACACATATGGTGTCGCCATGAGTTGGAAATGGGGGTGGGGTCTCTCAGCCAAGTGTTCTCATGGAGAGCAGCTGGGGAGGTGCTGGAACCCTCCCCAGACCCAGTCATGGCGCCCACTTGGTGCAGGTGTCCTGTCTAAAGCATCTCAGAGAGTAGGGTGAGAGGAGGACTCGGCTCCAAGTGCACAGTGAAGGCAAAGTCTGCCGGCACCTTTGTATCGCCCACTCCCCATGGTCTGAAATACTAAGTGACCACCAGACAGTAAGAATGGACAGTGCACACCTACCGTGGATGAAGACTCACGTCACCTTCTTACTGAATCCTGACAACAGCCAGGCGAGGCGGTTATCATCACTCTCTAACTGACGAGACTGGCTCAGAGAGGTTAAGTCACTTTCCAAGGTTGCACAGCCAGTACAGACCCACTGAGACAGTAGCCCCACATCCCCAGGCAATGGGGAGACTCTCCCCCTCTCGAGCTTGCCCGGACTCACCCACCACAGGTGAGACTCAGACAAATCACACTAATCAAAGGAAGGGTCCCCTGTCACATGACTCCTGGTGGCGTTGTGGTTATATGATTGGCTGCTGACCGCACCAGCTGCTCCATGGGAGAAAGATGTGGCAGTCTGCTTCCGTAAATATTACAGCCCTGGCAGGCCTACAGGGTCACTATGAGTTGGAACCCACTGGAGAGCAGTGGGAATCCCGTGTCAGTTGGCTGCTGTGCTCAGGCCCTGCCCTGTGGTTTGGGCCTCACCGGCATGCCCTCATTTACTCCTTATAACAAGCCCAAGAGGCAGGTACAACCAGATTCCATTTGGATTTGGAGCACAGAGAGGTTGGGTGGCTTGCCCCAAACCACCTGTGACAAATAATGGCTGACTTGGGATTCAGGCCAGAACCCACTCTCTCTCCACCTGGCTCTCACACTCCTCCTGGGGTGTCAAAGAGAAATAGGGGGGCCTCTAGTACCTTTCTTTGACTGGATCAACAGTCCTGACAGCCCCTCTAAGACCCCTGAAGTGAACTTCAGTCCCGAGCCCACTGCCCCAGGGCTATCAGCTCATACCAGGCTCACTCCTTCAGAACCTGGTTCCTGAATCTGCTGACCGGGGGCCACAGACCTGCCTGTGGGGTCCCTTTCAGTCCTCTCCATAGTCTGGCCCTGCCTGCTGACCCTCCCTGTGACTGAGACCCTAAGACATGTAGGGTCTTCTCTGTAGGGTTCAGTGTCCGGTGAGTGAAGCCCAGCCGACCCAGCCCCATCTGAGGCTCCCTCTGGCCACCTGGTCAGTTGGGTATCACCTCAGCAGGGGGAAGTGGCTATATGTCTGTTTCAAGCCTTTCCTAGCACAGTCATAGCCCTGAGACCTAATTAACCAGCCGGGGCAGCTCCCTGATGCTGTCTCCATGGCAACATGACTGGCCAACCCCAGGGGAAATGCTGCCCCAGCCCCTGCTCCTGCAGAAGGCAGTATCAAAGAGTATCCAAGTGGCCCCTACACTGGGGCAACAGCTCTGACATGCCTGACTCTCAGTCTGACCAGCTGTGGGTGCCCAACTTGTCCAGTAATCCCAGCTTCTGACAACCAGAGAGAGGCCTGGGGCCCTCAGGGTTTGGGTGAGGTCACAGTGAACCCATTTTATCATCACTATCCTGGGACAGTGCCCTGGGTGGGGCAGCTACTTGCTCCCCACCTCCTCCTCTGAGTATGTGAGAGGGAAGGAGAAAGAGAGATTGTGCCTGTAGGTCCTTCTTCAGTTTGCAGCTGCCAGCCCCTCCCTAAGGGCTACAAGGTGCAGGCAAGCTGGCTGAGAAGGGGCCAGTCCTTCTGGGAACCTGGCTACTTGGAAGCTCTAACCAATTAGGAGTTTGCAGAGCGGCCAGGTGGGTGTCCTTCCATCCAAGGCCAACCACATGGGTAGGGGGAGATGGGAAGAAGGTGGTGGAGGGTTAGGCTCACAGGGGCCTGTGGCATGGGGAAGGCAGGCAGGCTGGAGGGAGACAAGATCTGGGATAGGAACCATCTCAGGTTCTACTCTGATCCCAAAGCAATGCAGAATTGAGACCCCCCCTCCCCCTAACTTTCCCCAAGGCTGCTGACTCAGGATCTGCATTTTAACCAATTCCCCAGATGATTCCAGTGCAAATGAAAATTTGAGATGCTCTGGGCTAGAAAAGGGCAGTGGTTATGGGTGACTAGAGCTGGCTGGAATGCTGTATGGCAGGAGAGTGGGGCCTCAGGGATGGTGGTGGCTTTGGGATTAGCTCTGTGGTAGCCGGAGAGGACTGAAGTCCAGGGAAAGGAAGTGACTTGCCCTAGGTCAAGTCCGGTTGAGCAGAGCAGCCTCCCAATCCTACACTTTCTGGAAGTCTTCTTGGGATTTCTGAGCTGGAAGACCTTTAACTGATTCCTGTTTGCCAATCTTTCACTTCCCAATCCCAGTGTCCTCTCCCTGTAGGGTTTGGGGAGGGAGGTGTTGATCCCCCCTTGAAATTTGGGACCCTAGGGCTCTTTGGGGACTCCTGGTGTGGCACTGTGGGTTAATGTGCTGGACTGCAAAGTCGTTTGAACTACAAGTTCTGTGGTTCAAGCTCACCAGCCGCTCCTTGGAAACCCTATACAGGGTAGCTATGCGTCAGAACCAACTTCATGGCACTTAACAACAACAACAACAGTGCTCTTTGGAGGAGTTCTGGTGTGGCGCTGAGGGTTAATGCACTGGACTGCAAAGTCGGTTTGAGCTGCAAGGTCAGTGGTTCAAGCTCACCAGCCGCTCCTCAGAAACAGGGTCGCTATGGGTCGGAACTGACTTGATAGTTTTAACAATAGGGCTCTTGGAAGGAGTTCTGGTAACATAGTGGTATGAGTCAGGCTGCTAACCCCAAGGTCAGCAGTTCGAAACTACAAGCAGTTCCGTGGGAGAAGGATGAGGCTTTCTGCTCCCATAAAGGTGTACAGCCTTGGAAACCCCATTCAGGGTGGCTATGAATTGGAACTGACTTCACAGCACATAACCACCACCACGAGGGTTCTCTGAAGTCCTGGTGTGGTGCTGTGGGTTAATGTGCTGGACTGCAAAGTCGGTTTGAGTTGCAAAGTTGGTGGTTCAAGCTTACCAGCCACTCCTCAGATACACTAAACAGGGTTGCTGTGGGTTGGAACCACTCGATGGCACTTTACAACAACAAAGGCTTTTCAGGGAGTCTTGCTGTGATGCTGCAAGGTCAGTTTGAACCGCAAGATTGGTGGTTCAAGTCCACCAGCTGCTCCTCGGAAATCCTATACAGGGTCACTATGGGTTGGAACAGATTTGACAGCACTTAACAACAAGGAGCTCTGGTAGCGTAGTGGTTACGGATCAGGCTGCGGACCTCAAGGTCAGCAGTTCGAAACTACCAGTGGTTCCGCGGGAGAAAGATGAGGCGTTCTGCTCCTGTAAAGATTTACAGCCTCGGAAACCCTGTACAGGGTTGCTATGAGTCGGAACTGACTCCACGGCACTTAACAACAACAACAACAACAACAACAACAACAAGGCGCTCTGGTAGCGTAGTGGTTACGAATCGGGCTGTGAACTGCAAGGTCAGCATATCGAAACTACCAGTTGTTCTGTGGGAGAAAGATGAGGCTTTCTGCTCCCGTAAAGATTTACAGCCTCGGAAACCCTGGACAGGGTCGCTATGGGTCAGAACCGACTCCACAGCACATAACAACAACAACAACACAACAAGGGCTCATTAGAAAGCAATGGTCATGACTCGTCCCTGCCATTAGGGGGCACCATGCAAAGAAGCCAACCTGTCTATCTTGGTAAAAAGGGGCCAGGACTAGGATCCCAAGAAGCAGGGGCCCCTGCTGGCCTGTTCTCTAGGGGCCCCAGCTGTCCACAGCAGTGGTTCCGGGAGGCCCCTAGTTTGGGGATACAAGACCTACTCAGCCAGGGGGTCCACCTCAGACCTCCACTCAAAGGGACGCCACTGTGAAGGAAGGGATAACTTCTGCCCTCAGTCCTCTGTCCACCAACCTTCCCTTCTAGGATCAGAAAAAAAATCTCACAGGAGTAGATTTTCCTAAATCCCTTAGAAATCCAGAGGAGTCTTGGTGGCACAGTGGTTAAGCACTTAACTGCTAACCACAAGGTCGGCGGTTTGGACCCTCAGCCTCTCGGTGAGAGACAGCTGTGGCAGTCTTTCCTTGGCCAACATTTACAACCTTCGAAAACCCTTGTAAACTCTGTCCTATAGGATCGCCTGAATGGCAAATGGTAACAGGTTTGGAATCCAGAAAGGAGTTGAAGGAGGATGGGCATTCTTTTTCTCACTGACAGATGAGAAAACTGAGGCATGGAGAGGCTATCTCAGCGAAAGAGCTGGGGAAGAGCCCAAGTCACAGGTACTGAACAGTCCTTATGGGTTTCCCTTCCTGTGTGGACTGACTCCATCCGAACACTTCTCACCCGTGCCCACCCCCACCCCACCCTTCTCACCATGAGCATCTCGCTGGTGAGGGAGTTGACGAGGTCTGAGACAGAGGAGCGTGGCTCGGTGCGACGGTCAGACTCATCGTGGGGTGTCTGGCCCGGCACGGGGGCTGTGTTCACTGCTTTCCCGCCTGTGGGCAACCTGGGGATGGGGGAGTTGGATGAGCAAGGATTGGCAGGTGGGTGTGGGCTGGACACCATGGGCCTGTTTGCAGCAGGTCTATCTCTGAGGACCTGCAGGCAGGCAGAGTGGCACGCTGGTCCACCGAAAACCTGGCTTCCCATGGAGACTGGTACTCTATCCCTGTCCTCCTTGCAGCTCAGATCCCCTTACCTCTGTCCTGGGACCTGGGTTCATTGCTCTCAGATGCTCCCTCCTGTTCCTCCCCAGAAACTCCCCCACCCTCCAGCCATTATCTTGGCCTGGAGGTCTCTGAGCATGCCTTCCACACCAGGTCTGCTCCCTGGACCCACTGCCCAGGCCTCTCTGCATCGTCACCCTCTGTAAACGTTCCCAGCCTGTGTCTCAGAGCTCACCACCTGTGTTTGCTTGGGCTCAGCGACAGAACGTCTGCCCTTCCCTGCAGGCGGACTGCGGACTCAAGACCAGGATCTACACAGCCCTGTCCGGGAGAAAGCTCCTGGTGACAGAGCCCTTCTGTCACTTTACTCCACTGTCACCACCTGACACATGTGACCACTGAGCTCTTAAACTGTGGTGAGTGTGACGGAGAACTGATTTTTACTTCAGTTCATTTAAAAACTGCCTCGTGGTGGGTAGAGAGTATCTACAGCCCTGACCTCCTTCCAGCCCCGACCCTTCTAAAAGGCACTCTGTGGCTACAGCCTCTGCCCGATCTCTTCCAGGGGCTGAGGAAGATGGGGCACATATTAGGTCCTGTCTACATCCGGTTCCATGTGGTTCCTGGGAAGCTTCGCTCTGGCTCAGGGCCTGGCTGGTGAGTCTGGACTCTTTCAGCCCAGGCTCAGGAAGGGGGAACCAGAGCCCTGCCCAGGACCAGGCTGGAACATCCCATGAGGAGGAGGGGGTGGGGTAGGCAGGAGGAGACAGGGGACTGGCAGCATGAGGTTAGACTTGAAGAGCTGTGGGACAGCCACAGACTGAAACAGACACACGGGCTGGACAGGAGCCACGGCCTCTGGGCTACACCAGCCACCAGTCCACAGCCGGCCATGACAGGCAGACAGACAGACATGCATGAGTAGATGCCAGGGCCTGGAGGGGAGACATCAGAATCCAGCAGCAGGTTGCACACACACACACACACACACACACACACACACACACACAAACATGGCACACATGCAAGCATGAGACTCCCAAGGGAACAGGGGTACCAGAGCAGCCAGGCGGGTGACCAGAAGAGCTGTGACAGCCCCCACAGTGACAGCCCCCTTACATCCTGGGAGCAAACATATTTTGGGGAAACCCTGGCATGCCAAGGTTTGCATTTAAATTGGGACCCACTGAAACAGAAAAAGTAGGAAGCGGTTTTTGGGGGCAGACACTCCAGCAGCATCAGACGCCTCCACACACCTGCTGTGGAGACCTGGCCCGGCCTTGGCAACTTGGAAATGCCCCCAGCCCTCCCAGGGCCACGCCGGGGCATGGCTGCATGTCCACAGCAGCGCACACCCGGATGTACAAACACACATACACACACACACACACGTGTACATGTGCTCACGCAGACAGGCACGGGGAGGAAGAGGAGACTGAAATAGCTGAAGAGGTAAAGTCAGATTAATAATAGAGCAGGAGAGGAGCGCGCAAAATTGGCTGCTGAAAGTATGAGGACGTCGGAGTGATTCTGGCCACATCACAGCATCAGCGCAGCTGCAAAGCAGCCTGGGAAAGATGGTCAGCACCACGGAAGCTGTCAGAAGTCACAGGACAGAGAGGGACAGAGACGAAAGGCACAGAGAGGCAGAGGGAGAGGCCAAGGGCCCCGTCACCGGCCCAGGGACATCCCTGTGAGGAGCAGATGGAAGGAAGGAGAGAGAGGAGGACGAAGAAAGGGTTAGTAAGAGACGCATGATGAAGGCTGCTGGGCGGACAAGGGGTCAAGGAGGAGCCAGTTGGCCAAAAGGAGAGGCAGAGAGGAGGCAGGGAACACACATGGGGCAGAAGAAACATGGTGACTTCGGAGCAAGGAGAGCAATGGGGTGGGTGGCCTGGTCTCCGCCCTGCCCCTTACTAGGGTGGGGGTGGGCCACGGTGGAAACCATTTGGATCCCAAGAAGCAATGGCAAAGGGGAGGGTTGAGAGAGTGAGCCTGGAATGGGTGCAGGACAATGGGTGAGTGTGGAATGGGCACAACTGGCCATGGGAGCCAGGGCCTCCCTCCTGGGTCCTTGAAGTCTGATGTCGAGTCTGTGGTGAGGCCCAGGGGTGGTGGGTCCTGGATGGGACTTCAAGGCCACCGGGAATTCTAGTGACCCGCCCTCTCCCTGTTCACTTGCTGACACCAACCCCCACCCCACTTGGGACCTGAAATGACTGCTTCTCCTCATAGGTCCTCCTGTCTCCCAGAAGACCTTCCGGAGCCTGTTGCTAACAGGTCATGAGGGGGTGCAGATCTTCCCCAACAATCTAGGGTACATGTGACCAAAAGACTACCTGGGTGGAGAAGGGTGGGCCTGGACCAAGCAGGATAAGGGACCGCGGAGGGACAGCTGACCCAGCCCATCCCTCCCAGGTCCAGAGGCCTGGGGTCCTCAGGGTGGAGCTAATAGGAACCTTCAGGATGAGAGCACTCCATTCCGAATCCCCGGGTACCACAAGGGCCCTGAGGGAGGAGTTTCCAAGATGGGATGGGCATGAGCAGGTGTGAATGGCATGTGTCCACTCGGAAAGCCAGGTGAGGCGGGGCAGGCCCATAGCCTTCGCCTCCACACCCACCTTTCCCAGGAAGGATGGCGACAAGCTGATATCATGATCAGAAGGGATGGGTGTGTTAAAATATGGAGCGAGACCTAAGTGGCAAGGAGGTAAAAATAGGCTGTGGGTGAAAATGGAGCCAGTTAATTAACACATGGGTGATGCGAAATCTCGTTTCCAGCCTGCACCTGCTCCCTCACGCTTCACACCTTTCCCCTAGAGGGGCTCTGGTCCCCAGTAGCCTTTCAGAGGCCTCGAGCATCTCCTACTCCCTCTCCCTGTGGCCTGCCAGGAACCGTGGCTCCAGCAGTGCCCAGATGGGTTGAGGTGGCAAGTCCCCCCTCCTGCACATGGGCTCAGGGTTGATACCATCCCTGATGCTGAGGGAACTCACTGGCCCCTCTCCTGCCCTCCTCCCTGGGGCCTCTAGCCCTGCCCGCCATAGACAGGCAACTGTGCACTTGGCATGGAGGGACACCCAGTGGCAGCCTTGGCTAGCCCTTCCTAGCCTCTTCCCCAGTGTCAGGGTCACCCATCCACTCACAGAGCTGACAAGTGCCCAGCCTCAGGGCCTGTCTTCCTCATTAGAGTTTAGCATGTCAGAGCTGGAAGACAGCTACAGGGAGCACTTCGTAGGGGTTACCCTGTACAATGCCTTCACTTGTCAGAAGATGAGGCAGAAGCCCAGGAGGGACTGGGACTGGTCCAAGGTCCCAGGGCCCAAGCTAGAAGGCCAGGGTCCTGTCTGCCAGATCTCCTGTTTTACCTATATGGGTTTCCTAGTGAGCCTGGCCCAAGGAATGAGGCCTCCTCCTATTGCTAGGGCAGGGGTGGTGGTGGGAGAGGCAATGGCATGGTGTCACCCAGCCAAGAGCTACCTTGCCTTTGTAATGCCACCCAAGTTCTGGGACCTCTGACCTGTCCCCAAGACCTTTGTCATGCCACCCTAGTTCTGGGACCTCTGACCTGTCCCCAAGATCTTTGTCATGCCACCCTAGTTCTGGGACCTCTGACTTGTCCCCAAGACCTTTGTAATGCCACCCTAGTTCTGGGACCTCTGACCTGTCACCAAGATCTTTGTAATGCCACCCTAATTCTGAGACCTCTGGCCTGTCCCCAAGAGCAGAGCTCCAGTCCTTCCTTGGAGGGCTGCTTGGAACCATTTCCTGAATTTCTGATGTCCAAGGCCACAGAAGTAAATGCCAGTCCTCTGCTGGTCTCACAGGGCCCTGAGGGCCAGCCAGCAATGGGGTCACCAGGGATAGAAAGCCTGCTGGAGCCAGCCTCACCCTCCCATGTCCTCCTCTGGCCTCCTGGGCTCAGAGGCCACCTCTCTCTCTGGCCCTGTCGCCAGGCCTCCCCTGAGCCCCAGTGTTCTCTGCCTTCTGTCCCTCCCCACACGGGCTCCTCACCCTCACCCATTTGAAGCCCAGTCACACTCCTGCAGAGATGGGGGGGGGGCAACCACCATAAAGGGGCCTGCAGGCAAGAGGGAGGTTGAGGTGTTGTGGATGAGGGAGAACAGGCTTCGCCCCTCCCTGACATCCCCTCCACCCAGCAACCACCAGAGAAACAGGGATTTCGGGGTCGGAGATGGGGGCAGATGAAAAATGGAGGGGCTGCAGAAGAGAGCCAAGCAGGGAGATGGGGGCAGAAAAGGCTGGGCTTGCTCCGGGCCAGGGGCAGGCGTGCCCGGGGAGCAGGCTTGATCCAGAATGGTCCCAGGATGGCCACATGGCCTCAGACCCAAGGGGCACCACCACGGTGGATGTATGGGAAGGCACCAATTGGGGAGGGGACTTGTCTTCCTGGCGCCAGCATCCGCTGAAGTACTGCCACCTAGTCCAGCTGCTGGGCCGGTCAAGGGGGGTGGCCTGTCCACGCCTCCTCCTCTGCCGCCGCCGCCGCAGACCCTCGCCTGTGCGCGTACCTCTTGTCCCCCTGAGCGTTCTGGTTCAGCTGGGTTCCTGGGGTTTGCAGGTCAGGGATATTGGCAAAGTCATCCTGTTCCGAAAGCCCTAAGACCAAGGATAGCACCACCATCCGGCCTTCCCTGCCCGGGGCGGGCAGCCCAGCGGCCGGGGGTGCAGCGAGGAGGCCCCATGGGCGGGGGCAGGGGAAGGAGAGAGAGAGACAGAGACAGAGACAAAGAGAGAGAAGAAAAAAGCGTAAGAAACTGGCCCTGTGGAGAGAGAGTCACCCCTCAGCACTGTCAACAGGAGTAGAACAGAGTAGGGGGA